TAGATTGATGTAAATTTTTACTTTTTGGTCAATTTTTTTATAAATTATAAAATAAAGTTTTTATTATGTATTTTGCCAGATTTTACGAATAAAATGAGCCCTTTTACATAAGTTTTTGGACGTTATATTAAAAATTATTTTTATTTTAACATTTTTATTTAAGTGATTCAAATCTTTTGAGCGCCACTATATATTTACTTTTTGAGAAAGCAAAAACTCTTATATAATCTTCAAAGTATATACTGATACATTATCTTTTTAAAAAATAAAATTTTTTGTTTTTCTAAAAAATTCTTGAGTATTGAAACTGTATTTTACTAAGAAAACTTAGTAATATCTGCCATTGTGGCTTTGGTTTTACTAAGAAATTTAGTAATAATTGCCATCACAGCTTTGGTTTTACTAAGAAAATTTAGTAATAACTGCTATCGCGACTTCAGTTTTACTAAGAAAATTTAGTAATAATTGTTTGCTATCACAGCTTCAGTTTTACTAAGAAAATTTAGTAATAACCACCATTGAAGCTTCGGTTTTACTAAGAAAACTTAGCCATCTCAGCTTCGTAATAATTTTATTAGTAAAAAAACATTTCTGAAGCTGCAGACACATTTTTTAAAAGGTTTCTTAGTAAAATAGCACCTCTGAAGCTGTGAAGGCATTTTTACTTAGTAAAATAATGTCTCTGAAGTCGTGAAAACGTTTTTTACTATATTTTTCTTAGTAAAAAAGGCATTTCTGAAGTAGCAGAAGCACTTTTTACTATGTTTTTCTTAGTAAAAGCCACTTCTGAAGCTTTGAAGATGGTTTTACTATTAATTCAAATCAAATCAAATATTTGAATATTTGATTTGAATTTGATCGAATCGAATCATACATTAATTTGAATTTGATCAAATAAATCATTCATTGATTTGAATTTGATTGAATCAAATCAAATATTCAAATATCAAATTGAATTGCAGAATCCTATCGAATACCTTCTGTTTTCATCACTTTTTGAATAGTTTATTCAAATACTTTGCTACCTCTATTTTGTTTTGAAAAAGCTTACAAATCTCTTTTAAGTTTTATCACTTAAAATTTTTATTTTTAAGAATAGCCTTGCCAGCTTTTTTTATTTTTTTAGTCATAATTTGAAGACATCCTGGTCTTTTATTAATAATTTGGTTATTGGATTTTAAAATTTGAAAAACTATTAATTGAGAATATTCAGCAATTTCTGCAGTATTTTCTTGAGTAATACCAAGTTTTTTACATACAAAAATAGCACCTTTTTGTTTAGGAGTGATCTCTTTTTGCAAGGCATATGATTTTGAAAAAGATGTGAAAAATGGTCAAATTTTAAAAAATTAAATTAAAAATAAACAAAAAAAAACAATGCTTTTTTAATCAAAATAAAGTTATTTTAATTAAAGATGTAATACAAATTATTATAAATGGCTTTGTTTTTTTGTTTATATGCTAAAAGTAATTACAAAACTTCGTGAAAAAATCATTCAATATTTATTTCACCTCTCTTCCTGTATGTTGCAACTTATAATGTTACAACATTTGTTGCAACTAGTTTTAGCTTATGTTGTAAATTTAAAATTAATTGCTGCACCATCTTTAAGCATGGTCAACCTGATTGTTTTTTGAAAGGTTCTCCTGATTCATAAGCTACAAGATATTTTAAATTGTTGTTTGATGATATCCTACAGCTTTTGCAATTTCTGAATTTTTGTAACCCAATCTTTTGGCTGTTATTATGCCTTCCTTTTGTATAGAAGATAATTCTTTAGCGAGGTTCATTACGTATTTATGCGTAAAATTGAAAATTTTGTTTTTTTAAAAAGTGAATTTATTAATTGTTACACATTTAATCAAAACAATAAACCAATATCATTTTAAAGCAACTGCTAACCTATTCAATATAAAATTCACAATAAAAAATTTATTTGAATTTTATTTTTTAATGTTGCATCTATAATGAATATCAATCTTTTGAGAAGCTTATGATATTAAAGTTAAGAATTTTTAGCAAAAGTAAAAATAAAAAGTTCTCTAGTATTGCAAAGAAAGCTCAAGCTTTACGTTATCAATGAACTCATAAAAAAATTATCGAAAGCTGTAAAGCTCTTTTATGTTATGGCAAGACTTTCAGGATCTATATGGGAGAATTCCATACAGTTTTAACAAGTGTTTAAGCGGTTTATAATGATTTTATATGACTTGTTTTATTATTGATGTGATAAAATTTTTCAGTAGCATCTTATTTATATTGTGATATACAAGCTTTGTTAAATATAAATTTGCACTTGTGATTTATGTACCTAGAATATTACAAGGAAGTGCTGACAATGTGCCTCGCTCCCTTGACGCATAGCTTTTCGGGAGATAATTTAACTGTTTTAGAGAAATATTATTTTTGGAATCAAGGTAAGAAAGCTTTTTAGAATTTCATACTAAATGCGATTACATCAGCAAACCTTTATAGGCTTATTAAATCACGTGTAAAACTTTTCTGATTTCGTTTATGTAAAAAAGCAGTAAATAATTATTTTATCCAACTCAAAAAAATGTCTGATGAAAAATCACGTGAAATTTATTGTTTGAAATAGGGCACGGTGAGGATGCAACTAATTTTTGTAATCACATGAATCGAGGCAAAATGCGAGAAATCATGTGAAGGCCTTTTCAGAAATAAAAATTCTCCAATATATTCATTGGTATCTTTGTTTTTGTATTCACTCATTCTTTGCTCATTTGATTCATGCTGCAGAGTTGCCCAGGAGAAATGGTATGGATATTCTTGACTATATTATAGATAGAGGGATTAGTCATAGCGGATTTGTATGCTCTTCCAGCAAAAAGTCCAAAATAGTTCGTAAAGGCTTTTCCATCTACAATTCCAGACTGTTTCGGAATATCAATATTACAATTTGCAGTTGTAAAGAGGATGAAAAAATCATTTTCCAATGCAGATTTTTCACGTTCTTTTTGGAAATTTTCTTGACTGACTGCTTTTTTTTGCAATTTAAATTGGTGAATTTTGTTTGGACTCTCGGTATTTGGCTGATCTAATGTAAGGAAGGGATCTCCATACGATGAAGCTGGGGCATTAATAATACAATGCTTGAATTGCCGAACATCAACGGTAGAATTATAGCAATCAACTTTCCATTCGCTTGCAGTAAGTTTTTAGATTTTGTCTGTATGATGTTTTGCAACTTCAAGATGTAGATTGTAGTTTTTAAATTGGATATCGCCATTAAAACGTGCTTTCGCATGAACCTCTGAGATCGTTGTTAGCTCACCTTCTTCAATCACAGCTGACTTTATACAATGAAATGACATAACAAAATTTTCAAAACTCTGCCATGATTTGGCTTGCAATGATGTTACTGGATTCAAGAGTGCTCTTTGCTTCCCATAATCAGCGAATTCCCAATCTTGAAGTATTGGAACTCCTAGCCGTTGAGATATCTTAACAAATATCCAGAGTCAGATGTATTGTGCAGTGAGGTATCCCTTTGGACTATTTTCTATTTGCTCGAATCGAATCAACCCACCCCTAACAAATTCATCTGGTGTTTTGTCAGTTTTGGGAATATGTTTATATCTATTTAAGAGACGTCGAGTCAATATTGCTCATGCAATGAACCTAGCATCTTCCACAGAACTAAAAATAGCATCACGGTATTTTTCAGTAAGGTTATAATGCAGATCGTTCATCAAAGTATCGGCGTTGCATTCTTCAATTTTACGACCGTCCAAGCAATCATTCAGAACTTCTAGAGCCCTTCCATGCACTCCGCAGTCTTCCACAAGAGTATTAGTAACCTCATCATTTTTAAAGACTGGGACCAAGCTATCTCCTTGTTGATAGTTTGGGGGTTGTAGAGAAGCGACCAGTAAGTATATACGTTTTCACGGCGAATATCTCAACATACCATCAATCGGCCCGGTAATAGTTGAGATACAAATGGGTATTACAAAAGTGCCACTAAATGCAAGATCTGCAACAGATGTCAGTGTCTTATAAAATTGAGAATTTAACTTAAACCATCATTTTTATTTTCCATAAGTTGTTGCATACCGTTAACAACCAAAATGACTGTAACGTTTTTCAAGTCTTTGTTATGGTGTTTGGCAATCAATGACACAACATCCAACGGATCTGGTGGCTTGTATATCTCGATAATTTCATGAAGCCTCATTTTATTTCTGAGAAGTTAAAGTAGCATACGAGTACCAATGGCAAGATAAGGGTAGGATTCATCTGATCGTAAGGTGAAGCCATTCTCATAACTGACAAGGAATACCCAAGCTTCTTTGATCCTAGTTAACAGCTCCCCATCTTCTTGAGCTGACAAACATGTGATTGCTGTCTTGTGGAATTTATTAGCATTTCGAGATTTTCCGGTACCAGCCTCAGAAAGGAAGAGATATAGCGGAAGATTCAATTTGTCAAAATGCCCTAAAATAAATTTTTCATAATGACTTTTAAGCCTCCTTCGCAAAATCTGCTTCAAAGATGGGTCAGGTTGATATACCCAATTCGCACCAGAAGTGTAAAGCAAAGATTTTGGTTTATGTATGGCAAGCCTAGCATATAAATCATATGTTCAATCAGCCTCAATATAAGAATGATGAGTTTTCGGTAGGAATTGCTTAATACATACCTCCAGGAAAGGCATCAGTGATTTTTTTCTTAACTTCTACATGAACTGCGTTTTAGGGTTAAGAAAAGTAGCAGTAAAGAAAAAAAACACCAATATTAAGCATTCAATGTTACATAACAAAGACAAAAAAAAATGGCTATCAAAAATCAAGTCAGGTCACGTTCACTTGCATTGACTAAATTCACTTACCAGCAACAAGTTGTTCTATAATAACATAAATGTGTATTTTGGGGCGGGTTTGACGATAAGAAGCAGGAAAAAATGATAAAATTAAGTAAGTATTCAGTTTTATGACAAATATGACAGAAAATGAGAGTTTAAGCCATATTATCTTATTTTTCGATAAAATCTGTGTCTGTCAAACAACTTTATTTTTTTTACATATCGATAACACTAGTTCACATGTGACTTATAACCTAACTACTAAATACTCAATCTCATCCTTACTTTAACATAGAAATTGCCAATGCAATTGTTCTATCACAACATTATCAAAAAGTTAAAATTTTTTTCTAGCCTTTTATTTTCTTTCGAAATATATGGGTTGTGATCTAAGAAAATCAAATTCTGAGAATTTTTTTATTAAAATTGAGATTTTAATTGCATTTTAATTTTTAGATTAAAATGTGATAAGATATTAATTTCAGTTAAAATTTCTCAGAACCATATCCTCAAAAAGCTGATAAGCATCTTAGCAGTCTGTTTCAAATAATTAATTTTATAATGCCCTTGATGATCCTTGAGTGCTTTCCCAAAATTACTTCTAATATAGTAAGATCAGATTTAGTGTTGGAATTGGATCTTGTTTAATTCCCAATATTGGACTATTGGACTTTGAACCTAATGGACCAAGTCCACTCCAATTCCAATTCTAAATGGATTATGTCCACTTCAGTTATGGACTACAATTTTATAATTTTGGCCAAATGTTATTAATATGGGCTGAATTTATAATGCTGGCCTAAATTAATTTTTTTTTTATTCGATAGCCTAAATTAAAATTTATTCATTATAATAAATTAATAAATTACATAACTATTATTTAGATATGCGAGTTGGCTTAACCATAATTGGTTAAAGGTTGATCAATTGTGTAAATATAAAAAAAATTTCTTTCATCTTTTTTTTTGCGATCATCTTTAAAGTATAATGGGCTGTTGATAACATTTTTTGACTCCATATGTTGTGGTTCTGAATGCAGCCAAAAAGGCTAATGTGTTAACAAATTAATTATTAGAATTGTTTATTATAATTCAATAAATAATGATATTATTTAATTATTTATTATTAAAAAGTTTAAAAAGGTAATTCATTTTTATAATTCAATAGTATGTTAATTAGGGTTCCTCAAAATCGAATTGAATCGAATATTTAAGCAATTTGAATTTGATTTGATTTTTTCAAATCAAATCAAATTGAATCGAATTGAACTCAAATATTTGATCGAATCAATTTGAATTGATTTGAATTTGATCGAATCGAATCAAATTGAAT